TGTGTGTGTGTGTGTGTGTAGAGAGAGACAGAGAGAGAGTTCCACCCTCTGACTGCTGCAGGGGCGTGTCTTAGAGAGAGGCTTTTATACCAGAACACAGCCGCTGTGACGAAACCGTGGAGAAGCACGTTACAGCAGAGAGCCGTTAACCAATATGCAAATTAGCCTGCAGTACCACTGCTCCACCCATATGAGCAGCAAAAACACGTTTTTAGACCAAATATTACAGATTAGAACAAATACTCACAAAAACATCAAAATTAGCACAGAAACAGTACTATGTAACATTTTAGACACATTCTAGACAGTTTATCAGCTAAAAAAAGTTAATTTTGGGGTAAGTTACTCTTTAAATACGACCTTACAGTTTGTCTGAATGTTTTTGTCATGGGTCAAAAGCTTCTATTATCAAACATCAGCATTTTTTGGGAAACTTCCTTCTTTCTGCAGCACAACAGTAAATCTATGAGAAGTTCCTGCATGAATTATTTTTTATCAGTCAGCTTGAAAAAAAAAGGATAAAACTCTAAATTTGTCTGTTTGGAGGAATACTGTAACTCCTGATGTAAAAATGAAACGTTTTCAGTTTGTGCTTTGTGTATGCTAAGCAGCAGGTTAGTGTTATTTTGTGTTCATTCTGCTTGTCTGTATTGATATCTATGAAAACCTACTTCAGCTTGGTTCAGAAAAGTACACTGTTTTCTAAATCTGATCCTTACGACAGACTGTGCTTTCCAGAGATCAGTTGATATGTCTGACCAGACATCACCGACCACTGCATACTATCTGAAAGTATGCGCAATCTAATTACAGCCTTAATGTAAAGCTTGTTTTCTCTACAGAAAGATCTTATCACCTGTACATTCCTAGTGAGTGTTTTTTTTTAAAAACCAACAATTTCAGACCAAACAAGAGCAGCCTCCTCACCAGAGCTCCCTCAGGGCCGAACATCTGCAAGAAGTTACCGATGAACTCCCTGGATTTCTCCTCCCACTTCTGGATGAGGTCGATGCTCTTCTCCTCCACCTTCTGAACAAATTCTTTGCTTTTCTCCTCCACATCACGCACCTTCCTCTTCACCTTATCCACGCGCTCCTGCAGGTGATACTTCTTCTCCTGGTGGGAGGACAGCAAAGACAGATTACAGGAAGGCACTTTGAACCGCTGCACACCTATCAATGGTTTCTGTGATCAGTACAGTGTTGTATTTAAAGTGAAACCAGTACATTGATGAAGCTGACGTTGAGTTCCTTGGCTGTGTATCCTCTCTGCAGGTTGCGTCTGACATACACGTCATAGTCTCGGACTATCCGAGTGATGATGTCCGAGGTGGAGATGCCCTCCGTCCGCTGGGTGGGAGCAAACATACCTACAGAAAAAAAGCAGGAAGAACAAGAGGATGACTGACACTGCATGCAAATAAAAACACAAAATGGGTATAAATGTCTAATTAGCATTAAAAAAGTCACTTTAGCTGCACTAAATTAAACGGAAATGTCAATCTGAAAACTTTGGCGTTGTGAGAATTAAGGAATTCTCAGTATAATGTTGAGTTTCTTTTTTACAGGTAATTTTACTGATGCTGTGATGTGCAGAGACCAGAACAGATAACACTTTGAGTTCACAACTGTCCAGTTTTAATGTCTTATGTATCTTTACAGGGTTCCCACACTTTGTTCAATATCAAATTCAAGGACATTTCAAGGACTTTCCAGTATCAATTTCCTCAAATTAAAGAACCACGCACAACGGCAATTACCTACTACTACCACAGAATGTTACCAATAAACAGGTTTAACATCATGTAAATTCAATGAAAACTGAACAACATAGAAGTTGTTGAGTCAGAAACAATGATGTCAGTTTACTGTAATCCTGAGTTATCCACCGTAACAAATGTAAGACCTTTTTTATTTAATTTTCTAATTTATTTTTTTAAAAGGTGATGAAAATCAGTTGAGTGAATAGAGAACTTCAATCCACAAAAAATCATTCAAGGACTTTCAAGGAAAAGTGTAATTTTTGGCTGTTTTCACAAACTTTCCAGGTCCTTGAAATGTTTTTTCAAATTCACAAACTTTCAAGGATTTCAAGGACCCATGGGAACCCTGTTACATAAACATGGAATGCCATGAACTGTTCTTACATGAGGCCTTTTGTCATTTTCCCTAAAATAAGTCAAAAGTACATCTTTAAATTTGGATACATTGAAAAAAAACATTTACAAGAAACAAGACCACTTCTACTTATTTAAAACATTTTTATAAAAGCTTTTATTTCCTAAATTTAGATAAAGATTATGCATGTAACTTCCTAAGTAATTGTTTTACTAGATTTTAAGTTTTGTAAGTAAAATATGTCTGGCCAAGGGGGTGCATTTGGGGGGGGGGGGGGTGGTCCTGTCCTGATAACTCCCCTGATTGCCACTAGCAACAAAGATTTAATTATGTTTTCTCAACATTAAGAGATTTTTGGGGGTACCTTTGTATTAAATTAACTGCTTTTAACATCATTAGATGGGCATTAAGTTGGGAATTTTTACCTGCTATAATTTTTAAAGAGTGGCATTTCAGCTCAAATCTCAGTTAAATATAACAGATGATAGGATATTTTGCAATCAGCTAGAACACAAAGGGTTGTGTCATTTCTGAACTACCGTCAATCTGGTTACTTTGCCACTGACCTGCATCTTTGATGTGCTTGTACACGTCATCGCTGCCCGCTGATGAATATGGGATGTCGTCATGAGCCACGAAATCAATCTGGAGAGGTCATTACAACAAAGCAACACAGCAGATTCAGATCTACAGTTTGTACAAAAACAAAACTACACACACACAAACAAAACAAAAAAACATCAAGGAGAAGGTTACAAATGATCAGGGATTATGTCTGGCAAACCCATCTTATTAGTGTTTTCACTAAAAGCTTGTTAGTCGTTTTTCTCTCAACTAAAAAAACCTAATTTGTTTTTCTGAGTCGTCCACTCACGCGATGCTTTGCCAGGAACTCCGGCGATAAGCTCCAGGGAGCGTTTCGCACCACTTCGTCCACGTAGCGGCAGTGTCTGATGGCGTCGTATCGCTCATCCTCGTTCATCACAGTGAAGCCCTTGTATTTGTGGGTTAGCTCATCGCTGCACACTAGAAATGGTCAGAAATATGTAGAAAAATGACTTTTTAAAAAGGAGACTCGGTACACACTAACAGCTCAGTACTGTGGTGTCGCAGTGCACCTGAACTCAGCTCTCATGCTGTGTGGGGTTTAGCTGCGAGGAAGTTCCCAATGAAGTTCTTCATTTTCAATTATTACACAATGTGCACAAAGGTGGCCATCATGAGGGTTATATTATGAAATATTAGCTACAGCTCTTTTGACACCTTTGTGTTCTGATCTTTACTTCAGTCATGGGAATTGTTGTAACCAAAGGTCAAGAAATGAGCTTAACAAGTTTGTATTTTACTAGAATAAAGTACTGCATTTATTCATGTATAATACTAAAAATGTAATCCTAAAAATAATCCATAAAGTGGTGGGGTAATATTATACACGTGTTACTGATAATTAGATTTTTAATGCTCTTTAAGCTAAAAAAATGACTTATCTATTATACTCAAGGCCGTATTATACATAAATAAATATGGTACATATTTTTTCATTTCATTGTAGAAGTCAGTTGACGTCACAGACTTTTACTCACCGCCAACGATGAGATGTGTATTTGGAAAGAGGCGTTTAGCCTGCATGAGAGCCCTGGCGTGACCTGAGTGGAAAACATCAAAGATCCCATCCGCATAGACTCGCACTGGTCTGTTAGCTGGTTAAAGAAAGAGACGAGACACATTGAGACTCAGCTTGGTGTCCACTGGTGCAAATGTAATGAAAAAGGGAGGTTGTGTGCACAAAAAAAATCCCCGAAACAAATCAAAAGTTTCAAATTCACCAGGTGTTCCCTTCTTTGCCTCTTCCATGCTGACTCTCTCGTAGGGTTTATTAACCGGCTCAAGCTCATCAGCAAAAGGTGCAGGATTTCTCAGACCCTAAAACATCCACAAGCATTCAAACTGAGACATTACTAACAAATTAGGTTGTTTAATTTCAGACAAATCACTGTTCTACACAAAACTGAAGCACTTTGTTGTCCATAAGAAGAGGGGGGGAAAGTGAAATCAGCCCTAATTCTGCAACAGATCCTGCAGTCTTGCAAAATATAACTATGTGGTAATCAAAAATGTTGCTCTTGTGGGTGAACGGACAACTCAACAAGAATCTAAAGCATTTTGAAATTCTTCTGGCTAATGCTATTTGCTAAAGGGCACTAAGACTTTCAGAAAACCTACTGCTGAAGCATGCAGCTGACTCACCACAGTGCATCTGGGGATTTTCCCAAATCTCTCCCCTTCCTCGGTCTCCCCATTAGAGCCTTCTCTTTTTCGTTTTCTGGAACGTAGCAGCTCGTTGGAGCTTTCGGCCTCCATCTAGATTTAAAGACAAATGAAACAAACAAACAAAAAAAAAGGGCCAAGAACTGGTTTACTGTGTCACTGTATGATTAACGGTACACTCTGCTATGTGCCCATGTTGCATAATTTTAGACGCACTCAGTCCAGTCTGGACAGCTGCGAGGTCATGGAGGCCAACATATGTTTAGTCAACTTTGACCAAGTAAGAGAGAGAGCGCGCGAGAGCGAGAGAGAGAGAGAGAGAGAGAGAGCGAGCACAGTGTGTGATGTGAACCAGCAAAACAATTTATATAGCACCTGTAAGAACAAGACAGCCAGAACTGTTTTAGTTCATTCAGCACAGCAACCTCTTACATCTAAAGGTAACCATGATTGACAGTCTCTTTTTGCAAAGACTAAAAGTTATATAAACAGTCTTTCGTTTATTACAATTTAACCCTAAAATTAACACACATTAAGAAAATGTACAAAAACTACCATTTTAATGCTTTATTATTATGGCTAATGTCCTAAAACAAACAGCTATTTGAAGTTGCTCAGTTGTAGAAGATAAAGGCTGCACAGCAATTTGCTGTGAATAATCAACCATGTAGAAAAACATGGGAGTGTCTCGCTTTGTGAACAGACTTTTTAAAGGTATCTGCACTTGTCCTGATTCTTTTCGCACATTCATTCTTTCTGTCAGAACCCATCAAAACAAAATAAACCAGTGCGGGCATACAATTACAAGGTTTCTTGTTCCAGTTTGAGGTTCTGCTTCCATTCCACACATCCCATCCTGCCACGAAAACTTTAACCATTCATCTTGAAAGGGAAAAGTTTAACATTATTACTCATGGCCCTTTTTTTAAATCTAGTAATTACACTCTGGTAATCTTTATAAAACATGAGGAATCACAGTTACATGGTAATAACCTTGGGTTGGAGCTCTGCTGCTCTATCAGCAATGTGACTCAATTCACCAGTCCATATTTCTGGTGGTGACAGTGACCTGATCCCACACAGGCCAACTTGTGCAATCGCCGCCCCCTGTCCCTTTCCTCTTGGCAGCTGCTGAGAGTGAGAAGCCCTGCAGGACTCACACCAGATGATTTACACAAAGAGCAGATGTCATCCTGAAACTGGCCTCCATTATAGGAAAGCAACAAAAAGAAGCTGCCAAGTCGTATCCTGTGTTTCACAATAAACCCTGTAACTTCATTTAAAAACTTGGACTAGATCTCTGCTTTTAAATTTGTACAATCACTAATGTGTCTGCAAGTAAAATTATTTATAAAGCAAGCATTTAACTTCAAAATAAAGTGAAAAAATGAACCCTACTTTCTTAATACTCAAGGACTACATAAAATATTCAACCTTCTTGGTTGCAACAAAGGTTTAAGAAACCAAAATTAAAGACATTAATCATTTAACCTTTCAAAACCCCAAAAAAGATACATCATAAGTTAATATATCAGTAGCTCACGGTTAGATCCAAGTAACACATAGCTGACGGAGCAGCTGCTAGTTTAGTGACACTGGTTGAGCTGCACAGAAACCCTGCTTTACTTGACGGATTCAGAAAAGTAACCCAATAGTTCAAACGCCTGATTCAGTGGCATAATGTTAGCTTAAATGTAATAACCATTTCAAGGTTTTGTCTACTTACCGTTCCCGCTTTTGTCAGAAACACTGTCTTGGAGTGATGGGCGGTATAGTTTACGCTGCTAGCTCTATCGAATGCTAGCTAACACGCTAGCTGTCAAGTTGTATGGCTTAATAGCTAACTTAAGCCGCTAGCAGCTAGCAGGTTATACGACATCATTTTAAGACTAAGTGAGAAAAACCTACGCGTCCGACTCCCGGGTAGCTGCTACATCGATGCCTAACAAACAAAAACACCCCTAACAACAACCAGGACAATGGACAATGTGTTATCTGTGACAGCTTGTGTACTACAACGCTGACAGGTCACCAAAACACTTAAGAACTACAAAACTTCCACAACGTAACAGGAAGTGAATGTTGCGCGTTTCCGGGATTGTATCTGCTACCATCTAGTGGACGCAGACAAAAACTATACTCTCGCAAATGGCTTTTAGCGGCGAATACGATCACAAACACCAGAACACAATCTCTGAGCTGAAAGCTGGTGGTTTGGCCTCCACTAACGCCCGTCAGAAAGAGCATGATGAACTGGAGGCTGAGCTTTATAAGACAACGGAGGCCACCAAGGTTGACATCCAGAACCTCGACATTACCAATCGTGTCAGGGAACTTAAACTGGTCAGTGTTTCACAACATGTTTTTAGTTCCTGCTGTCAAAGAAGATAATCTTTTGCCTTACTGTGTGTGTGTATTTGTCTATATTGTTAGCAAAATATCTTATGAACTAGTGGACATCATCTCACAATACTGGATGGACCTCTACATGTGATTAAACGTTTTAAAGCCACCCCATTTCAAGATGGTCATAAAGCTATGCACCTTATCAAATACAAAAAATGGCTATAACTTGGTCGATTGTACAGATGTTGAGCTAAACTTTGGTGTGGTAGTAGCTGAGAGTCATTCTCAACACATACTTCAAGATCTAATATATCACGTAACAGAATCATGTATGATGTTATTTCCAACATTTGATCTAATCTCAGATCTCATCATAAGATGGTTATAATATAAAACTTTGGAATGATATGCAGTCTTTCATCGAATGCCAGGCTTTTAATGATAATAATGTTTGCTTTAAAAACAACATAAATACATCCAAAACATTCCGAATCCAAATCTATCACATATTGGTGTTTGGTCACAATGACTTCTTGGTCATGCTCTGTATAATATTCATGAGTCCTATCAGCATCTTAAGCAGACAAATACAGGTACTTTTGTTTGGTTAAAATCAAATTTTATGTATGTGTATGTATGTAGATATTTGTGTGTGTGTGTGTGTGTGTGTGTGTGTGTGTGTGTGTGTGTGTGTGTGTGTGTGTGTGTGT